AAAAAGAATCCCTAATAATAATAATAATAATAATAATAAAATAACATACCCATATACATACATAAACATACATACGCGCAAACTGTAAATATATATATATATATATATACACATGTAAGCAGCGAAAGTAAATAAAATACAAAATGAATACATCAAATCATACGCAGTCAATCAGAAATGCAACAGCAAAGGAAGAACAGTACAATTTAAAAGAGTGGTGAAATGGTCAAGCGTACCTCTCAGAACATTGCTAATTTTTCTCCAATAAAAGTGCACTTCTTAATTTCCATGCCCGACAAGCGTACGATTTACAGAATTTATCAAATAAGAGGGCAATATCGTATCGTACTTACGGGGGTCCATAATTGCACGTTATTATCCAGGAGTTTTTATGACCGTCATTGGTAGTTTCACAAAACGCTAAACCACATCCCACCGCATATGAATCTGCCCACACAACCTTTATAAACGAATGTGGACGAAAAATGGAATCAATTAAGGAAACCATTATTTAATATAATTAATATTCTGTCTTTGGACAAGCCCCCAGCATCTGTACATTTATTAAGATTATTTTTTAATATTTTTAATCATCAACATTATATTTTTTAAATCTAATCTTATCTCCATGTTATTTATTTTTATCCTTATCTTCCGCATCTATATCGTAATAAACAAATAAATAATAATAATAATAATAATAATAATAATAATAATAATAATAATAATAATAATAATAATAATAATAATAATAATATATTATAATATTATATTGTCATCATCATCATTATCCTCGGCATTAGAACCATCACCACCATCATCATATCTCCCCACACAAACTTTATAAACGAATGTGGACGAAAAATGAAATCAATTAAGGAAACCATTACCGTATGTAATAGAATTATTATTCTGTCATTGGACAAGCCCCTAGCATCTGTATATTTATTAAAATTAATTTTTTAACATTTTTAAGCATCAACATTATGTTTTTTAATTCTCTATAATTATATTCATCTTCCTTATTTTTGTTTTTATCTTTCGCATCTATATTTTAATATATAAATAAATAAATGATAATAATATATTATCATCTTTATCATTATTATATTGTCATCATCATCATTATCCTCGGCATTAGAACCATCACCACCATCATCATATCTCCCCACACAAACTTTATAAACGAATGTGGACGAAAAATGAAATCAATTAAGGAAACCATTACCGTATGTAATATAATTATTATTCTGTCATTGGACAAGCCCCTAGCATCTGTATATTTATCAAAATTAATTTTTTAACATTTTTAAGCATCAACATTATGTTTTTTAATTCTCTATAATTATATTCATCTTCCTTATTTTTGTTTTTATCTTTCGCATCTATATTTTAATATATAAATAAATAAATGATAATAATATATTATCATCTTCATCATTATCCTCGACATTAGAATCGCCACCACCATCATCAAAATCATTATCATCATCAGTATTATTACCGTTTATCCATGTCCAGCTCAGACAAATTTGAGTTTGAACCTTAGCTATAAAACAAGCAAGGTTGTAACAAGTCCGTTTAAAAGCGCGTATAATACCCATGCCAAGAGTGCTCAAACTACATATAGTAGTGGGACAAATTAAATGCAAATCAGCAATGGTACTATCTCAATAGAGTGCTCAACAAAACAAATGTTAAGGAGCTATAATTACAGAAGATCTTACAGCCATTAATTTTGAACCCATTAATTTTGAACTTAAATTTCTGTTGAACAGATGAATGATTAAAGTTGAGCTTATCACCTCAGTCTTGATTAATAGTTTCCCCTTACCTGTGTGTAGTGCCCACACACACCCGTACAAGCCCTGGTATCATAGGTGTACTTGCTGACTTCGTTGTACCAGGCTTGCGTAGCGCCGACGCCGTTAGGTTTATTATCTGCCGAACCGGTTCCTAGCCACAGATTTTGTCCATAACTTGTCCACGACGTTAGGTTTGACTTAGGAAATCCATGATCCCAAATGCACTCTTCTGACCACTCTTTCGCTAACATCGCCAGACCTTCATCCCAGACCTGAATTCAAACATTATTAAAATAAAATAAAGATGACAGTAACATTTCTTACGAAAATATATTTAAATATTCTCTCTTGTTTGATATTGAGTGGGGGATAGATGGTCACTGTTTTTTCTTAATGAAAAACACTTTTGTCTGTAATTACTGTAGAAGACAAACGAAAGAGAAAGAATTTAAATAAATGGAAACGACAATCATCATTAAGACATAACAAATGGTTATCTTACCTACCGGAAGTGACGCAACAAAAGAATTCCAACGTTTTGAATCTAAAATTTCCCTAACACCATAATTAAAATAATAACAAAATTATCAATATATACAGCTAAAATAATAATAGGCCTAACAATGGACGCAAGAAGACAATGCAACTTATAAAATGAAATGGTAATATTTTAGGCCTACTTTAATCCACGAGCTTAAAAATATATAGCTGGAAGCAGACGGCACTACTACTATACCACATGTAGTCCTATGGCTTAGAACACCAGAGCCCATGGCCTATGAAAATTCGTATGGTTTTACCCAGGGAGGTGTGAATCGGTTTGTACTGACCAAAAAGGTGATTATTATTAAAATCTCGATCATTTTTATTATAATTTCTCTAGTTAGGCCTGTGTTGGAACTAAAGAATCTGGCACAACAGACCCCTCACATTTTTCTAAAGTACATGCTAAATTGAGTTTAGAGTTAGGTAAAGCCTAGCCATGCCCTTTATGGTAATAGTAAGAAACGTAAAGTACAAGACGACTGTCTTATAAAAAAGACAATTATTATTTCGTATTTTCATACACTAGAGGGCTTATTACACTTCAATCTCAGACAATGTTTCAATACACTAATTCAAGTTCATGTGATAATATATTATGTATAAAACAAACAGCGCCGGCCGACCCACACTAATATGCGCTAAGGTTATCGTCTTCTAAATCCAATTTTCTCTAGGCTGAAGCTTAATAATTAGCTCTTTAATTGCAGGATCGAATGTTCTTCAAAGATAAAAACGCAATTGCTAATTTCAATCTTCTTCTTTTTCTATAGCCATACAATATTATTTAATAATAGAGAATGAATTAGTCGATCTGCCTTTGAAGTAAAGTTCCATTCATGATACGTTTCAAATCAAGCAAATATCAGTCAATTAATATTAATTAGGTTTATTGGATTTTTTACGCTTAGTGTAACAGTAGAGGTTGCTCTACAATACACTTGTATTATTAGGCAGCTGTGTATTACAACATGGTAATAACAAAGATCCTCTTTGCTAACAATACAAAAATCTTTTATTCCTTCATCAAATTAAAAATGGCATAAGAAAGTACAGAAAAATAGAAAATGACGAAAAGGAACCCTCAAGAAACCCAATTGGGTTTGTAAGAAAAGAGAGACCAACATAGATTAAAGTATACAGAAACAAGATCACCGATTAAATGGAATGAAAGAAATTGGGAGAAAAGTATACAAAATTGAGGCTCTAAAAACACCTCTTAATCTAACTACATTAAATTAGATAATAAAAAAGAACAAAAATTAGAAAAATATGAAATTGCATATATTATTTTTTTTTTAAATGCACATCAGAAAAAAAAACCAAAAGTAATGTCAATAATAATAATAATAATAATAATAGGGCGGTGAGAAGAAAATGAGGAAAATTATCAAGTAACTATCAGAAATGATGAGTATGTCAAAAGTCTGTATTGACATTGAAGCATCACGGGTTTCATTCTACTTTTTTTTTATCATCAGCGTGGATAATCAGTCAAATAGTCCGACTAAAGGCGTGTATATTTAGGGTACTGTCACCTGTTAGGCCTAAATGATCAACAAATGATCAACAGCAAAAATCTCAACAAGTTGTCTTTTTTTTTTGTTGGTGGTGTGGGGGGTGGGGTGTTCTAATTGTAATGTTCAATGTATTGTGTGCGTTCCTGAGGATCTACTCTGGGCTTCATTATATTTATTGTTTTTGTTAGACAATACTGTCTGTTATTTCTCTACACTATCTTACATATGCGAATGATAAAAATTTATGTCAATAGTCTCATGGAGATCAACAATAACTTCAAAATGAATTCAATATAAGTAATTTAAATTAAAAGGTTCAATACAAAGGTGACATATTCATCAAAACGCATTTGAGTTGATGTGTTTTATTTCAATCAATTGTTCGTTGTAGAGACGCAAAATTAGAAAATTGTCGAATTAATCATATATTTATTTTATTGTCAAATGTCTTTATGTACAATGGCCTACAAAACAATCAATTTTCGACACGGTGCCTCAAAATCTGTGCACCCGTAAGCATATAGGCATACACATTTTTGATTAAATACTGTATTCTCTGTGTTCCATTTTGTTTCCGCGTTCTTCTAATGATTTGCATATAGCAACTAGCGACTCCCTGGTTCTAATCTAGTAATATCTAAAGGGATTATCTTAAATTATATTTTTTATTAGGGTTTTACTTACTAAATATCGACTTATAAGCCTATGATTTCACTGTATTTGAATGTTTCGGAGTTTAGATACTGATTTGTTTTGTTGTTAAGTGTAATCTGAACAGCGCAATAGGAGACATAATTAGATCGAGATTTACTTTCAAATTTAGGAAACATGTCTCTATCTGTTTCTGGTATTTTATACTGTATTATGATGTTGTATTACCGGCTGTTGTTTTATCCGCTTTATTGAGACAAATTAAAATTTAAAAAATTAAATAAAATACCCCATTGCTCTTGTAGGCCTAGCATACGTATTATGGATAGGCACATGTCTGTGTAGGCCTACAGAGAGTTTATATAATAAGTAATATATAATAGAAGGAATTAACAGCTAAGTTACCCAGTAGAACTTATAATTAAAAAAATCTATGACCTTTGAACAGTGAAGGTTTTTACTAGTATTATATCGATCACCTGAACTGAATAGCACTAATGATGCAAACGAAGTAATATCGATGTTCATTTTGATGTCATGTTTTAATAACGTTGATGTATAATAATGCCTCCATGGTAATTAAACCTATAACCCACTCTAAGCTTTTATCAGTACAGCATCAGTTACAATAACAAAGGTATTAGGCCTATAATGGGAATTCAAATGGGCTGGCTTTTTGTGGTACAATTGAAAAAGCAACAAGATTAAAACGGCTCAGCTAATATTTAAGTTGCGTGTGCCGCCAATTGACTTTTGCACAGTGAGAAGAAATAAAATAGTATTGAGAGAGACCAATGAAAGTATTGAAAGACATGTGAGAACAACTCAATGTTATATGAGAACAACTGGAATAGTAGTGAGATTAAGTAAGATCTATGAGAACAACTGAAAGAATTGTTTCATCAATTCAGTTATCATACATTGTACACAAGCCACAATGTTAGCTTCATTTACAAAATAAATCTAACAGCAATGAATTAAAATAAATTATCATGGTACGGTAACACTCGTCACTTAGTATGGGAACAGAGGATGGCGTCGATTTCTATTTAAATATAATTTTTTTTTTAATCTGATGTACGAAGTTGTTTATCACTGGTCCACAATGGTATCAAAATAGGTTCTGTCTTCTGTTAACAGTAAAGGTCAATTCACATCTAATCCAAACCGAAATTATGATAGTGTTCCGATGCGCTAAACACTCTATCTTAAGCCTGTTTCCCTTAAAATCGGTATTCGCTACAGTGTTTTCAGCGTAATCGTTGTACTACATAGCATTCCCCGACTCAATCAGGAAGGCTCCCCGATTCGAGCGACCAATCAGCATCACCGAAAGCTGTCGGCGATAGCATCTAACGACTGTATGGAAATTCAATACTGCTCCAATTTTCTGATCAGTGCGATGGCTTTCCGATCCGAAAAATCGAATTCGGTGTAAATGCACTTTTAGAGTCTCTCTCTACTTTGCGTGCAAACGCGGATAAATAAATAAATAATAAAAAATAATTTAGGGTATTTATTAAAATGTAATAGAATGTTTTATTGTAACCAACAATCAAACGTTTTTACAATCCTGGGATTTGTTATTGCCGTTGCTTGGATATATTGTATTACGGATTGCCGTTAAATTGAAAGGACATTCAGATGACAAGTTTAGAGGTGAATCTATGGTGATAAAATGTGTACTTGCTCTTGGCAGTGTACACAATCAGGAGTGGCTGTGTTCAGAGACATAACAATGTTAATACTGTTTTTTTTTTTTATGTAATGAATAGTGAGCTAGAGAATTTAGTAAATACAGTAGAACCCCTATTAAGGGGACAACTTCGGGACCAAAAAAGTGTCCCCATAAAAGTGGTGTCCCCTGATTAGGGGTAATCTATTGAGGAGACACTAATCAAAAACGTAAAATTGTCGCCTTAGTAGGCGTTTTTGGTATGTTTTCATATAACGATGACATACATTCTTTATAATATTATTTTTATTGACATAATTAGTTTAGTTTATTAGTAAAATTAGAACTTTATAGCAATAATTTGCAATGCAAATACAATTCATTTATAATATGAAATCAGCAAAAATTTAATTAAAATATGTTCCCAATATTGTTTCATGATGCAATGACCAAATATTTTTTTTAACATTGAGCTTTCTATTGGATGAATGTAGCATGACTAGAGTAACGACTTGGAATTAAGGATATGGTATGGATTAGAATCCTATATGAAAGTCACGAAAAACGAAAACATTTGTTTATACAAAGTACCATATGCAGATGAACTCTAAGGGGTAGAAAATTCTGGTTTATTACTCCAAATGATGTCAAAATATAAAGTTGAATGAATTTTTCTTATTTTGAGACTGCTATAGTTGTTGTGATGCAATGAAAAAAAGGTGACAATTTGGCACAAACAGAAAGTGTCCCCGTCCCCTTAATAGATGTACGGTATCCACTTAATAAGGGTTGGCCGTAGTGTTAAAATATATATTGGCCCTCGTTTCACGGAAAAGTGTCCCCTTAATACGGGTGTCCCCTGTATGGGGTGTCCAAAGGAGGGGGTTCTATTGCAGTTTTATTCCAACAAAGTTATTGTCTTGTGTTTTGAAATGCAAAAAATAAATAAATAAATAAATAAAATAAAAACAACTTATCGTCAATGTATCAAAATCTAAAATTATAATTTTTAGGAGCAAATACAAGTCAATTGGCATTGGCTACAACCTCCTTATGGAAAGGTAGGCCTACTGTAATTATTTTTGGTAAGCAGTCATGCAAAATTATAATAAAATACTACCTGACTGTGACAACTTATTAGCAACAATTCAGTACAAAAGATATGTTATTAAATAAAGAGGTAAAAGGGGAAAAAATTTAAAACCACTAAAGTAAACACGTTTGATTTACCATGAAGTTCATATTTGAGGCTTCGGGACTCACGCCGGATCTCAGCTCATTGTGTTTGTCCAATATAGCTTGTTCCTCACTCCTTGTAAAATTGCTAGAACGTTTCCGACGAGAGTGAACAGCATATGGGTTCGGGTCAATCACACCTTTCGATGTGTAGATGAGGTTGGCTGCGTAGCAACTGTCAGCAATCCACGCTATTAACACGATTGATTCGTATATTTTCATATTTATGAGGCTTGAAACTGAAATCACGAAAAAAAGAACACATAATTGTTTTTTTATTTATTTATTTATTTTTTTTTTTGCTTTTTTTTTGTTGTTTTTTTCAGGTTGCACTAAGGTTGAAAATAAAGCCTTTAAAGCTAAATACGTATGTATGTATGTTTTTGTTAAGAATTAAAAATTCAAGATTTATTTATTGTCCAGAGTACGAAATTCCTTTCAATCGGCTTCGTCGAAACTGTCAGCGATAGCATGTAGCAAATTTATGGAAACCAAATTTATTATGTTTTTATTATTACTATTCATTTTTGGTTATCCGATCAAAACCAGAATAAGAATCACCATTCAGTTTTGTTATATTTATTTCAGTGAGACACTTTTAACCTGGTGCTATACATCCAGTGTGTTTAATGCTATCGATATAGATGGATTATCATTATATATGGTTGTGTGCATTTGTGGGTGAGGTTAATGTTCTTAAATATAAATGATATTCCAAGGCAGTTAAATTCGTCATAGTTCGATCATTTAATCGTTTATGACACCATTTTTCCGTTCGTCTGGATTTTCAGTAACTTCTTTTGTGTCAAGTTATTGAGGCGATCATGGGGATATTGATTTGTTTCTAAGCAACTGTGGGGAATTATAATAATAAAAATTAGACAAGGCAACTTTACTCAACCGTCATAATCCATAACTCAGAATTACATCAAAGAAGCTAAATTTGCATTTTACATTTAAATCTATTAAACACTAATTCATTCTTTAAGGATAGAATGTTCTGACACCTAAAAATTCAAGAAAAAACCTAAAAAAATAGATATAAAAAATTCGCCTAACCTAATCACAACGTTTACAACGTTTGCGAATGTGATATTTGTTTTGTTTTTTTCTGATTTACTCACACTTTACATGACGCAGATAAGATTTAGATTAAATTATTCTGAGTTATATATTACATTTGGCCTTGTGCTTTGGGATAAACAAATTGTAAGGGCATATCTCATTAACACATTGAATTATCACTTATTTCAAACTTGACATCCAGGATCAAACTTTGGATCGATCTCCACAGCATTTATTCAGAACAGAGGTTCATCCTTAGTACCCAGATTAATGACAAGGTTGTAAACATTTTGTTTATAGAAGAAAGAAGTGTATTGAATACTTACTTATTGAAGTAGGCTGGAAAAGAGCGACTATTTGACTACTATTGTGTTAACATACCTAAAAGATAACAGCTTAGCCAGGATGAAGCTACTTATGGACAATAGCTATCAATTTCAGTTTGTATGTTTAATCCCATCCATTAGTAAAAACTTACGCAAACGTGTAGACTCCCCACCCCATCCCCTTATTCGTATCACCATAACGTTGATAATATATATAGGCCTATATATATATATATATATATATATATATATATATATATATATATAAAGAAGGCGTGTCCACGTGTGTTTCGAATATATATATATATATATATATATATATATATATATATATGTATGTATGTATGTATATGTATATGTATCATTCCTTTCAGAAGTTCAAACATTAAAATATAAAATGAAAAGACCTGCGGAGAGACAAAAACGGTAAAAACTACTAACACCGAAGGCGTGTCTCTCCAACTCCTACAACATTACCCCAATACAAACGTGGAATAACTTAAACCAAACATTGCACACGATAAGTACCCAACAAAAATTCTCACACCCGACACCCCTCCCCCTCCAATTGGAATTAGTTTACAATTAGATATGTGAAAAACTGTATTATAATTATATTAGTATACAAATATTTTTCTAAAGTACTTATAAAAATAAACTTATCATAGAACTAAAATTATTGCATATTAAAAAATTGATAAATTCAACAATTAAAAGCCACTCCCATTCCTGTTACCATTTAAGATGCTTTCTAATGAGACTGGTGTTAGCAAACATTCGTGTTCAATCTGTCTTAAGATACTTGTTACTTTCATTATATCTGTCACTATATTAGCCTTCTTAAGACCCAATGCCGCCTGTGTGAGGAGCTGGTGTGTATAGCCTCCTGTTGCCGTAAGTCTTAAAACTTCATGACATTATAATGCTATAGGATTAGTACAATAAATTTGGTACCATGTATTTTAAGAACACATGACGTGCTAGATAAAGATGAAATGGACTCTAAAAACATTATAAGCTAGTATGCTGTCTCTTATACACATCTAGATGTGTATAAGAGACAGATTTACAGGAGTTTGAACGGCAATGCCATCGTTGATATTCCGGTGGGGGCTTTTAAAAACTTAACAAGCCTACGGACTCTTGGACTTGAGGGAAATCGGTTGACTAAAGTGCCCGAAGAAGCACTGAGCAGGTGTAGACGACTGGAACAACTAGATCTGTCACGAAACCACATCACAGTCGTCCAAGACAATGCCTTCAGTAGTCTGGCAAGACTGGAATCACTGTAAGAAATATACAAATTTACTAACCCATACGTCAGCAGTGGTAAATCTAGAGTGAAAATAATAAGCAAGAAAAAGAGCTACGTCAAACGCAGCCACATTTGTCCCGGTTTATGGGGGAAGAGTTTTATCGTAAACAAATCTTTTCATTTCTCTGTTGATTTTTGTCATTCTACAGTTACTTACTTTTCCGAAATAGTCTAAATTATGTTGAAACAAATGTTTTCGTTGATTGACCAATTGACATGCCTGATTTGGTCACGCGGAAACTTTGTTCCGAATTAATGCACTCTGGTTTCTGATACTTTTCATTCTCAACCAAATCTATTTCACAATTCCCATGGAGGTATAAACTAGCTGAATGCCGCAACAACATTGTACCAGGTACCGAATTATACAGCTGGGTGGTGGGAAAGAGAGAGAGGGAAGATACGGTTGATAGTATGCAC